ACTGAATGTAATATATGTGAAATGAATATATTACAGTCTATTTTTGCCATAAAAGTAAATATTGAAGCAAGATTTGTGTGTGAATATAATAGCGCAGTTAAAGCTATTTTGCCTCTTTTTTTCACTCTAGATCTTATTGCATTGGGGCATATCATTAGTCCTATTTCCCCATGGGGTTATTTTAAATTACTACACACTAGATTGCCAATCTGACATCACATATCTCTGCAGTAATCAATCACTGAAGAGCTAGAATGCATCTTGCAAAATAGCCAGCTTTAAGTACTTAGGACATTTGGGGAACAATGAATGCATTTGAAGAATATGTTTGTGTGCTTCCCAACAAAGTCAGCTCCCAGCAGGTCGGCGGGTTTCCTCACACTTCCGTCCTTGCAGTGGAACTTACTGTTAATTGTTGAAAGTCCACTTCATTTTTCAGTGGGGTTGTTTCTGGACCAGTAAGAGCAGCATGGGAAACTTGTTAGAAATGTAAATTCTTGAAGTGCATCCCAGATCTAAACATTCTGATTCAGAAGCTGTGGGGATGGGGCCCAGAAATCTGCCTTAACAAGTTCTCCAGGTGAATCTGATGTACGTTAAAGTGTGAGAAGCACTGCTTTAGTAATTAAAAAGCCGTAGACAGATGTTCGACATAGATCTCAACTTGAGATTTATAACATAGTCAAACTATAATTAATAGGCACTAAAGTTTATTTAGGCAATTTTTATTAGGTTAATGATATTTACAGTTACAGTAGGCTGAATAATGGGCCCACAAAGATGTCCATATCCTGATCCCCTTTAGTGGTGAATGTTACCTTACATGGCAACAGGGACTTTGAAGGTGTGATTAAAGTTCCTGAGATGGGGAGAGTGTCCTGGATTATCCAGGTGGGCCCAAAGTAATCACAAGAGTCTTTCTGAGAGAGCAGGAGGGCCACAGTGAGAGATTCGATGACAGAAGCAGAGGTGTGAGAGAGTTAAAGATGCTACACAGCTGGCCTTGAAGATGGAGGAAGGGGCCACAAGTGAAGGAATGCAGGCTGCCTCTAGAAGCTGGAGAAGGCAAGAGACAGAGTGTCCCTTACAGCTTCCAAGAAGAATGCAGCCTGGCAAAATCTTGATTTTAGGACTCTGACTTCCAGAACTGTAAGATAATAAATGTGGGGTTTTTTCAAGCCGCTAAGTTTGTGTAACTTGTTCCAGCAGCAGTAGAAACGGGCAAGACAGTATATTCTTCCTCTCAGGAAAAAGTTGACAGTCAACTCACTTGTTTTAAGAACCTAGAATGAGGTGAGTATGGAAGTCTCATATCCAGGACTGCTGGGTGTTTTGTCTCAAAACTTGAATGTTGGTGAAAGTCAGAATTCCTGAGGCAACAAGGTTGAGTTTGGAGCAAAACTTTCCTAACCCTAATTCAAAGGTATCTTCTTCCTGGCTTTTGAACTACACATATGGACTTGTTCTTTTGGGATATGCCGTTATTGGCTCCATCTGCTGATTTTAGAAGATCTTGTTGGGTGGCATCTTTCATCACTGAAGTGTGAATCAATTTAGCAAACTGCTTTCCAGACTAGACCAGCAGGTGAAGGATGAATTGGTGTTTCTACTTCTAGAGGTAAATTATTTTAATTGTAATTTCCAAAGACCCTAAGAATTAAGAGAAATGTTAGCAAATTTAAACTAAAATATTTTTGGATCATCCAGTCCAAACTCTTTTAAACCAAGGCCTGGGGTAAAGTAATTCACTGGTGACCACACACTGAATTAATCCACTTGGCAAATTGTCATCTTGCCCCATAAAAGCTGCTCTGATCTTTTCTGATTGGCTTCACTGGGAAAAAATGTGGGCTTTTTAAAGTAAACCCTCCCAGAAAGATGCTAATTTATATTTTGCGCCATTTAAAATGTGAGCAAATGAGAAAATTTTCATGTAACTTACCAATTTGCTACATTCTCCCTTCTATGTGGGGAATTTGCACTTTGAGTGTAAAGAGAAGAGGAAACGTCTGTCCTGTTTCCCCCATAACCTTGTCTGTAGCTAATCTCCCCTCCACCTCAAACACTCTCCCTCCATGAACAAATGCCTTCATGCTCGAGCAAACAGACCTGCTGATCCAAAGAGAAGTCAGTCCTTCCTCTTGAGAAACTGACAGTCTAGATGGGAGACAAACTGGGTATGTAAACAATATTATAATTCATATTGTAGATATGACAGAGCCCAGAGCCCAGAGCAGGTGGGACAAATGTTGGAGCAATCATCAAGTTTCACTGTTACCTTCAAATTGGGCTGTCACTGAATGCCCCAGAGGGCAGCAGAGGGGAAGGATATTTTGAGCAGACAGCAAGTGCGAAGGCACGGAGAGAAGGATCTCTGCGTGTTTAGGGAACAAACAATGAGATGTGACGGACACTTAGGATGCCTGGGAGAGGATGGTGACAGATGAGCTGGGAAGGAAAACATGACTTTATAACAAATGCAAAGGGGCCTGTGCTTTATTAGCAAGAGAACACTCTCAAAGGCAAGAGAGTGGCATAGTCTGTTTTAAAATGATAATAGCAGCCTGTATTTCATTTTCATATAACGTATTTAATTCTTACAGCCCTGTGATGAAGGCTCTGTAATTACCCCCATTTAACAAATGAGAAAGCACAAGGAAGCTCAGTCACCCAGCTTAAGGTCACAGCTCATAAGGATCAAACCCAGGCAGTCTGGCTTGAAAGGCTCATGCATCACGCCTCTGTGAATCAGAGCTGAGGATGGGCTGTGGGAGAAGAGAACGGGAGAGAGAGAAATTAAGATGCTGCTTGAAGAGTCTAAGCCAGTGTTTCCTGAACTTAGCATTCACTTCCTACTTTTCCACAACTTAGGCTGTATCCAAGAACCACTTTTAATATTTCTTTAAACTAACTCATTTTTTTTCTTTTGAGGAAGATTAGCCCTGAGCTAACATCTGCTGCCAATCCTCCTCTTTTTGCTGAGGGAGACTGGCCCTGAGCTAACATCCGTGCCCATCTTCCTCTACTTTATATGTGGGACGCCTGCCACGGCATGGCTTGCCAAGCGGTGCCATGTCCGCATCCGGGATCTGAACCTGCCAACCCCGGGCCACCGAAGTGGAATGTGTGCACTTAACTGCTGCGCCACTGGGCCAGTCCCCTAACTCATCTTTTTAAACTTAAATTTTAAAGGGAAACCTGAGGACAATGACAACAAAACAACAGGCACAAAAGTTAGGATGGGTCATGACCCCTAGACAAAAAGCTGCACCCAGAGTTAGAGGATGGAGAAGGCGGGAGATGTCAAAGCAGGGCAGGCAGAAGCAGGTGCGGGGCTGGCCACAAAGGATGGAGAAGCGACAGGAAGACGGTTACTGAGAATTCCTTTAGCAAGACGGCGGCTCCAGCAAAGGGAGGAAAACTGAGCTGCGGTAGTGAGTGAGGGGTTTGTGGATTTTGTGGAAGAGTGGGGCTGGGACTGACAAGAAACCCTGAGGGCAAAGAAGATGGAGTCCAAGAAGCGAATAGAGTGGTGAGGGGTGACTGATGGATACCCAGGCTGGGAGCCATGAAGACGGTTGAGGATATTTGAGGAGGTCTGAGGACTGCAGGAAGGGGACAGTTGGGGTGGCTTAGAGGGTTGAGGGAAGAGTTCCAGAGGTGAGAGCTGAAGGGCTGAGGAAGGGCGGCAGCAGGGTGACCGGGGACACAAGACATTGGGGAGAAGTGGGTGGGTGCTCAGCCCACCACAGTGTATCTTGCAGGTTGTCCCTGAGCCTGAATCCTGCACACAGGGGTGATGGTCAGCTTCCCAGAAGTGAGATGAACTTGTCATCCATATGCCACCAGAAGTCAGCTCTAATCCCTCCAGGGCTAGCATCACCTTTCGGGAAACACTGGTGTGGGCAAAGGATGGTAACAACCTGAGTTAAAGAACAGGATACTTGGAGGCCATTGCTAAGTTTCTAGAAGAACAGTTGGGTGATCATTATTCTGTTTCATTTTTTTATCCTCCACAGTGCCTACGCATGACACTTTGTAAATAACAGGCACTCAAATATTCAATTACATTACTGTAGGTGGTTGAAAAGACCTAAGTGGAGATGAGTCTTCTGAGGCATATCTAACTAGTAAGGCTCCAGTTCATGAATTCAAGGGCGAGGGGGGAGTGTCAGACTGGGTCAACAGAATACTTTCCCTCACAAGAAAGGACAATTTTTCAGATGGCTGACAGACTGCCCTAGCTCACTGATATCTAGAAAGGCCTTGAGGCTTTAGATATTGCCGGAAAGTAAGGAAAAAGAAATTAAAGATACAGTAGAGAACGCTTAATGTTTCAAGATCCACACCAGATCATAAGCCATTCCCCAGTGGCTACAAAAACCACTTACGTCTGGGTAAAATACATTTGCCTGAAAATCAACTTCGGTAATTGTTAGCCAACAGCCTAAGGTGACCCCAATGATTCTCACCTTCTGGCATTCACACCCCCGTATAATGTCTCTATCCCTTAACTGTGGGCAGAACCTGTGACTTGCTTCTAACCAAAGAATATGACGAAGGTGATGGAAAGTCATTCCTGTGACTGTTGTTATATGACTCCATCTTGCTAGCAAAGGGCCAAGTGACAGGGAATGGCGGGCAGCCTCCGGGAGCTGAGGGCAGCGTATGGCCAATGGCCAGCAAGAAACTGAAGCCCTCAGATCTACAGCTCCAAGGCAAGGAATTCTGCCAACAACCTGAAAAGAGTTTGGAAGCAGATTCTCTCCCCAGTTAAGCCTCCAGATGAGACCAAAGCTCTGACCGATACCTGGATTGTAGCCTTGTGAGAGCGGAGCAGAGAACTCAACAAGCTGTGCTTAGACTCTCGATGCACAGAAACTATGGGATAAATTATACATGTGTGTTGTTTAGAGCGAATTTTATGGTAATTTATTATACAGCATAGAAAATGAATACAGAAATCTTAATACATAAAAGGAAAAACAGGAAAAGGATTATTGAGTTAGTGACCATTTGGGATCTTTATTAATGAAGATCAAACATCCAAAGGGCAGTCCCCAATGCTCATTTCCATGATTTTAAGAGTTGGTTCTTCCACGTCGTGATTATTGTCACCTTTGACACCGCGGAACTGAAGAGGCTGGGAGAGTGCTGTGCTGAGAAGACATAACTCAGCTGAAGTCTCAGCCTTTTCAGTGTCATTATCAACTTCAATGACATTCACAGAGGTTTCTTGGTCTGTGAAGCTGCTTGAAATACTTGGATTTTTTTCATCCCAAATTGAAGGTCCAAGATTTGTTTCATCATTCACCTGTCGAATTATAACCCCTTCTGAATACTTTGACTTATAGACGGGTAGGAAAAATTCACCAGGTGAAGACAGTATCTCGTTCTCATCCTTCGGTGCAGACAATAACATATCCAAGGCCTTTTGGTATTCTTGGCGTTCCTGTTGAATTATTGTATCTTGCTCATTTTTATATTCATTTTGTTCTGAATTCTTAGCCTTTTCAAAATCAAGTAAATTCAACGTATTAACATCGTCTAGCTTTACTGAGTTTTCCTTGGATGTGCAGCCTAAATCCACCTTCAGGACACGCAGCAGGTGGCGCATTTTTTCCTACGAAAAAGACAAGAATAATTACATTAATTAAGCTAGTCCAATTGTATTACTTTTGAATCAGCAGGATTAATACTTCTCCTTCCACACTCTGCCCCACCCCCCAAAAGTGCAAGGAAAAAGGTGTTTGCTTTTAATGCATTCTTTGAGGGTATGGAAAAACTTCAAAATTCTTTCCAGGGGCCAGCCCCGTGGCTGAGTGGTTAAGTTTGCGCGCTCTGCTTTGGCGGCCCAGGGTTTCACCGGTTCGGATCCTGGGCGTGGACATGGCACCGCTCATCAAACCATGCTGAGGTGGCATCCCACATGCCACAACTAGAAGGACCCACAACTAAAAATACACAGCTATGTACCGGGGGGATTTGGGGAGAAAAAGGAAAAATAAAATCTTAAAAAAAATTCTATATTAGAATTTTCTAATGAAGTTCTAAAGAAAGACAAACCTCCTCCAAATGATGTTTATTTTGTTTTATATGTCGCTCAAACAGTCGTTCTAAAAACCTACGAACGATAAACAAAAATATTAATGTCTCAAAATCAGAAAATCAACAAAACATAAAACGACCATGCCATAACTAAACTACTTAAAGTTGGAAAATATTTTTCAGATTACTCTTTTCTCTCCAAAGCTAAACACTAATCCTTCCCTGTTTGTTAAGTTCTCCATTGTTGAAGCTAGTATGGCTTCCACTATGTGCTCGTTTAAGTCATATAAGGGATGCCAATGTTTCTGGAAGATTGCATGCTACTTACATTTCTGTGAATAAAATATTCTAAATGAGGTCCAAAAATCGCCCCCACACATCCCAAAAAGCTTTCTCTTTCTTTTCTCACACACACACACAAACACCAAAACCTCTCCCTCTTCTATTTCACATACACACCACCCCCAAAATCCTAACCTTAAAGAAAATTCTCTGATAAAGAGTTATTTTACAATGCTTCCCAAATTATACTTGAAAACATTCCACTGATGGTAAATCCACATAACCTAAACGTTATCACTTATTAAGCACCTCTAAGTGCTAGACATTTGTGACAGACACATAATAATCATTATACCTCTAATCATGACCAATAATGGGAGAGAAAAGTATTTTCAAAAACAGTCTAAAGATGAAAAAGCAATGTCTCTAGAATGGTGATTTCCCTCCCTAAGGTCACAAGCGATAAAGAAAATTTAACCTAGATGTATCTTGCTCCGGAGAATTTATTCTCTCAACGACACCATGCTCGTCTCGCCATCACATGCACATATCAGTAAGTTTCTTGAAAAACAACTCATTTGTTACCATTTGTTATTATTCATGAAGTTACAAGCCAACTTTGGATTTAGTAGTTCTGAATTATTTGGCAATTTTTAAAAAGCCCAAGAAATCCATGTTCTACATTTTACAACTAGGGTTGATGTTTTGGACTATTTCACTCCTAGCCATTTTTCTATGCATAAATACTTCTTTACCAAAACTAGGATTAAACAATACATACTCTTTGGGTCCCCGTTTTGTTTTTTCTTACCAATTATATATTTTGAACATCTTTCTGATGCAATAAATTCACTCCTACAACATTAGTGTAAATCTCCGAACAGAACGGACTTTTGGAAATATTCTACAATCTATTCAACCAAACCTTTGCTATTCACCATGGAGGCCGGTTCCATTTTTTGCTGCTATTGTAAAAAATGCTGCAACAAACAGCCTTACAATCTAAGAGAAAAATTTAAGTTTTTTAGCATAAATACATGTTTTATGCAAACTTTTTTTGTTCTTTTTTTGCTTTTAATCTTTGCTATATTTTTTGATTACAGTTGGAATCTTAATACTTTTGTTGTGTTAAAAAACATACAATTTACCATCTTAACCATTTTTAAGTGCAGGTCAGCAGTGTTAAGTATATTCACACTGTTGTGAAACACAGCAAGGCAACGTGTTCATCTTGCAAGTCTGAAACTCTACACCATTATGCAAACATTTTAAACCACCTTTTTAAAATGAAAGAGGTAAATAGAATTACTGTGAAAAAACTTAGGGTCTTTCTGGTATATCTTTTTGTACCAATAAAGAAACTGCTTTAATTAAAAAGAAAAAGCTTCACATAGGAATAGAAATCACTCATTAGAAATGTCTGCACTTGACATTATGATGACAGGGAAAGCGAGTAGTGCACATGATGGGGGCCTATGATACGTAACAAAGTGGAGCTTAGTGCTTAACAAATTTTAGACAAATGTTCAACTTGATTCAGGACCCCACAGTTTCTGTAAGATATGAAATACCTTATCTGGTTGTGCAAACTTTCCATTTCACTTACAATATGCAAACCTAGCTTTTAATTTATCTTCACTTTACTAGTAACAGTGTGTACTAGAATGTACCAAAATGTAACATTTTGGAATATAATGTAACAAAAAATGCTTGCTTCTGATTCTCATGACAATTCGAAAGAGTAAAATGAGATGATGGATCTTTGAAAATAAGCAAAAATTTACTTTACTAGTCTTATAACTAATAGTCTTCTCAATTGTTTTTTGTAGACTTCATGGGATTTTTACGTGGATTGATAGTGTTATGTGTGAATAAAGACAGTTTTACTTCTTTCTTTCAAATATGGATACCATTTATTTCTTTTTCCTTTTTTTGTGATAGGCTTTTTTGCTTTTTTTAATTGAGGTATAACTAACATACATTATATTAGTCTCAGGTGTACTACATAATGATTAGATATTTGTACATATTGTGAAATAATCACCACCACAAATCTAGTTAACCTGTGTCACCATACATGGTTACAGAATTTCTTTTGCGTGTGATGAGAACTCTTAAGATCTACTCTCTCAGCAACTTTCAAATACACACTACACTATTATTAACTACAGTCACCATGCTGTACATTACATCCCCATGACTTGTATATTTTACAACTAGAAGTTGATTCCCTTCACCCATTTCACCCCCCCACCCCACCTCTGGCAACCACCAAGCTGTGTCTATATTTAACAGATATAAAAAGATTTAAATGAATAAAATCTGTGTTCTTTTCTAAAAACTCCCCCAAACTGTGAACTTGCTTTAAATTATGAATTAAACATTCTTTACAATTTGCTATCAACTATAAGCATATGGTCCCCCAAGAAAGCAATATAATTTTTCATTTCCTAATATGTGGAAATACCTTTAAAAAATAAGACCAAATTAAGAGTATTTAATGTACTGTTCAACCACCATATACAATTTAAAATATCTAACCTGTTTGAAAATAAACCAAGTTTCAAAATTTCATCTGTTATATCTTCAATGAAACTCAGATACAATAGTTCTTCTTCACTGTGAAGGCAAAGTAATATAGAGCATAAAAATTATTGCTTGCTTAGTCTGAAAACTATAGGAAACAGGAGTGCCTACTTAGAAATATCTATCTCCACTATTACAAATGTACTTCTATCTCGCATTATTAAGGGGAAATTATAAAACAAACATATTGTCTACCTTCTCAAATTATGCAAGGATAAATATTATAATGAGAAAATATTCCTAAATAGAGTAAAATTTCACAGATGTCTGCAACATTCATCCAGCAGTAAAAAATAAGCAGGAATTAAACAAAACAAAAAACAGAGAGCAACCAAGGGCAAGAGGGCAGCCAAATGTGATGCACTGGGGGCACGTGTTCCCCAGGAGCGTTTTAAGCGTCCTTTGGCTCCTGACCACGTGCAGCAGCAAAGGTCTGAGCCCCTCTGCATGGCGCTTCTTAATTCTTCATCTCCACTAAGCAAAATGAAGAGGCCAAAAAGATCAGAGCGGATTTTTCTCCCAAAGGGAGGCTGCAGGGAATACTGCCAGCCTGCCCTGGAAAGAGAAACTAAAATATCTGAACAAACAAGGGTTCGCATATAGTAAGTGTTCAATAATCCTATATATTAGAAATAATATGCTTCAGAACTTCTAAAGCACTTTCCCACCACGACCTAAGCTAATCTTCAGAACAAGCCTGTCAGGTGGACTGGGTAGCTATGGTTTTTCCCACTTAGCAATGAGTTCCCCAAGGGGAAGAAAGGCTAATAAGCACATTGCCAAGGTCATGTGTTAGTTAAGTAGCAAAGATAGATTTTTTAACTAATCTTCTAATTATAAATTCACAATCCTTTTTAAAACTGTACTATGGCACTTACCTGGTATAACCTACCAATTTGACTAAGGTTAACATCTCAATATAACCTGGAAACACATATTTCCCTATGGAAAAAATTTTTAAGCTGGTCATTATGATAAATTGTGTCAGGATTCAGTTATGTCGTTAGTTGATTCCCAGCTTTTTATTCAGGTATATTCAATTATAATATTTTACTTTACTTTAGATAGAAACTACTAGAAAAGATAATATTTCTTTCTTTAGGTCATTCTGTGTATTGGTTGTAGACTGGCTTATAAATCTTAAGTCGCGAGTACTGGAGCATCATGAATTTCAGGACCGAGAGGTTCGCAATGAACCATGCAGCCTTGCCAGGTGAGAGCTCCCTGGGAAAGGCCTGAGGGAGCGCGGGGGCCCGCCCTCTGGTCCGCGATGTGCCGCCTCATCCTGCCCTCTTTTAAATCTCTGGTCCCGTTTTTCTCCCACCTCCTTCATCTCAGATCCAATCTCTGACACTGGAAATGCACTTGACAGCTGAAACCATCCAAGGCATGTTTTAGGTTCTATATTAACTGCCAACCTGTTACTTTTATTTAGGTGCAGTATTCCATAATTACTAAACACAACGAGTAGTTTTTAAAAACAGCGCCTCTGCACGGCATGGATAGTTAAAGTATTCGCATACGGTGACTATTTAAAATCACAAAGGATTAACCCTCCAACACTCAGGTTCTTCAGTACTATCTGTGCCAGGTAAACTGGTTAGCATCACTGCTAGAGGATTTGTCTTGGGGAAAATCCTTTTTTCATATGAATGCTGACGGCAAATAATATAAGCCAGTGTCTCTTTTTCCTTTATTCATGAATTCATTTAAACTTTGACAGAATACTCACTTTGTAAAATTTCCTTAGGAAAACTAATACTGCCACTGAATTGTAGAACACGAAAATAGAAGAGAGCACATGGAATTAAATAGTACTTATGTTGCAAATACTGTGTGTCTTCTATTTGGGAAAGCAGTTAGATAAAGACAGCTGACGTGATTTCTCCTGTGAGCTGTTTACCTTGAGGAAGAACACTGACGAGCACCATCTTTAACCTTGTCCCACGGGGAGCCAGGCACTTCTACAGGTAAAGGGCTTATTTTCCCTTGGGTACCAACTGTCATACAACTAGATGCCTGGAGCTGCAATGAGGAAAGTAAGTTTTTATTTTGCTTCAAAAATACACTATGAGAGCAGAAATAAAACAAAACAGCAAATTCAAAAAAAAGTCAAGGTAAGAGATATCCAGTGATATCTCTGTAAAAAGTGACTTACAGTCTTAGGACAAGGAATGTCTTAGAATACATTTATCCATCCAATCAGGACCTTTTTCTTAAATTTACTTAAAGTAAGATAAAACAACTTCTGATTTCTTATATTTTAATGAGGGATATTTTAAATGACATTAAGAAACACCACCAATAAATATATAAGAGAAAATGAAACAAATTTGCAAGTTTTAAGTAAATTTAAGAAAAAATATCCTATTATTCAGAAACTCAAACCGACCATCTGTTTCAAATGCCAACATAACAAACATGTAGAAGCAGTGGCAGCAGCTCTGGCAGTATGAACAATAGTGACAGAAACAATGGCAAAGAATCGTTACTATGGGCCACATAATGTACCAGGCATTTACTTGTATTATTAGAGTTAATCTGCACAATGCTCATTTATATAAAGTGCTTCACACTTTTAAAAGTGCTGTTAAAATGTGGGTCTGCTCATATAAGGCCCCTATTAGCTTCCTCAAGTAGACGGCTGGCGGTGCTGATGGTGGAACATGGGACAGACTACTTTCTTACAGGGTTATGGATAAACATTTGGAACACAATGCCATAAAAGTGGACTTATTCTGCTTTAGTTTATCTAGTTATCTACAGAGCTAACTCTCTTCTTAAATCTGAAGCTGGCTGTAGCCATCACTTATTGAGGCCTTGTCAGGCTAGGCACTTTAACTACATCATTTATTCCTCCCAATAATCCTGCACATTAAGTACAGGTTTTCTAGATGTGGAAATTCAGCTCTCAGAGGATAAGCGATTTGTCCTTGGGCGCTTAAGTGGCAGGGCCTTATGTCAAACAGTTATTAATGGCAGAGACAGAAACCTACATTCCTCTACCCATTTTCAGAAGGGAAGAGGGAAGTTGAGTGTGGATTAGATTTTATTCTTCTATCCCTGAATCTGTGTTTGATATTTTAATAGATAAAGCTTTATATAAACAATAAATTTAAATTACAACACAAGAGTATCATTAATACCCCTAAAATAAAAATAATCAGTTAATCTCAAAATCAGACTTAAAGCTGTAATATTTCAAAAGAAATGATTGCTAAGCATTCAAAATATAAACACTGTGAAAAAGAGCTTTATGGTCTAGAAAAAAGTAAAAGCAAACATGAGAATGATACCCATCTATTCTAATAAAATATATAATTTCAAATAATGTAAGCAGTGGCAATTCGTTAAAAAACATACAGGCATAAACACTAAAACAACTTTTCTGGCTCATTTAGTGATCCAAGTCTTCTTGGAAAGCAACATTTAAGGTATTTTATTCATCTACCCATCTATCCAGCCAGCCCACCTACCATCCAGAAAAGATGCTAAAAACAAATGATCTCCCAGATTGGTCAGGATCCTTCCGGCCATTCACAGAGAGCTACAACCACTTGTATACAGGGAGACCTTCTGTATACTGGCTATATCAATCATATGCAAGAAGTGTCACCAAGAGGTTATTCTTCACAGTCCAAACAGCTATACATATTCTATGAAGGTAAAGCAGCTGTAATTCCAATGTGGAACACAAAGAGATCTCATTTTCATTACCTCTGAATCTTTGAAGTTCTTAGTCTCGACTGTCTCAAAATCAGGTTTAAAGCTGTAATATTTTAAAAGAAATGATTGTTAAGCCTTCGAAATATAAATACTATGATACTGAGATTTATTGTCTAGGAAAAAATAAAAAACATAAGAGATGAAACTGACCTATTCTTATTAAATGCATAATTTCTAATTAGATAATCAGGAAATAGATATGGATTGAATTATATTCTTCTTTTTCCTTTTTTTGAATAGCAGCTAGATTTCAGCTGGACAGAATGGGACTAGGGAAATGGAAATTACTATCTTCAAAAGCTACCATAAATATAATCAGAAAAGTGTATGGTAGACCTGTTTCCTCATTTCTCTCTCACTTGACAAGTTCTAGCATAGATTCAGTCCTGAATTCTCTGATTAAATGTACGCAGACTCATCTGATGTTACTGTACCTGTTCTCTATATCCAGAGAAAACAATACTAGTCTGAAAATGTTTTTTACTTTCTAAAATAACTAAAACCTAGTACCAGATAAATATTTGCTTATATAACACTAGGAAAAACAATCACAAACCAGCTAACACAATACTTTTACAAGATTTGTTTGTTTCTTCAACCATTTGGCAAACTTTTACTGAATATTCATTATGGGTTAGGCACCATTATACATGAAAACATTACTGAGGCAAATTATACTTAATTTCCAGAAATTATCTCAACTGTCTAAATTATTCCTGGGGAGTCATTGCTATAGAAGACTGGGGTCAAATATTTGCAGGGAAAGCAGCACAGGGGTAGTTACATAAACAGTTTTTTTCCCCCTCTATAACCCACTGTTTTGCCTTTTACTTTTCTAAGCAGCATTTTTCGGGTTTTTTGTGAGGAAGACTGGTCTCGAGCTATCATCTGCTGTTCATCTTCCTCCTTCCCTCCTCCTCCCACCAAAGCCCCAGTACACAGTCCTGTGTCCTAGCTGTAGGGCCTTCTAGGCCTCAGCACGGCCTGATGAGCGGTGGGATCGGATCCAGCAAACCCCGGGCCGCTGACGTGGAGCACGAACTTAACCACTCAGCCACGGGGCTGGCCCCCGTTTTGCCATTTTTAACGTGAATCAACAGACACATTTACACAAATGCTGTTTGATGACATATTTTAAAGATTCTCTGAGTATAATATTTAGAAACCTACACAAATTCTAGTACCATGTTTGAAACAATAAATCAAGGTAAGCAACATTTCATGTTTATACGCAGCTTGACAAGCTTAATAGCTATTTTTTCAACCATTACACTGAGGGTTCTAGTGATACATGCAAAATGAAAAGTCACATTAATCTCATTCTAACCAAAAGGGCACTACCAGACCTTAAGTCTGGCACATAAGGTAAATGATATAAAATAAAGAATATTATTTAATTTCTACAACATCCTGAAGAATTTACTATTGGCTGTTAAGGTGCCATACCTGCTTATTAATCCAGCCTGGGTTTCAGCTTGTATCCGTTGATCTGTTAAATCCTTTTTTCTTTTGGCAGGTGTGTAATATCGATACTGTGACAGGAAAGATTTCGCTTCTGTTTTTAAAGTGCGTGGAGTGAATGGCAAATGTCTGTTAGAAAAGAGTTCAGAATGTTTATCCAAAAGGTCCCCACTAGGTGCTTTTGAAATAACTAGCTCAAACCGGTAGGAATTTGGGACTGTGCTCCTGGGCCTTCTGCCATACACGGTTCCGGAGCATGGTTTCCTGGGCCCAGAGGTGGTGTAATCCATGCTGGACTGGGAGGAACTGGAGTTCTTCTCAGGACTGTTTGTGAGCACTTTACTGGATTTAGGTGCACTTAGGTGTAGTCTCTCTGAAGAAGTTACTCGTGACCTTGTAAAGGACGGAAATCCATTCACTTCTTTGAGTAACACACCATCCTCATCATGTGGTTCCCCTGAAGGCTAAGAACATTTGGTTTGATAGTCATCAGTTACATTTACAAATTCATGTAATTGGGGATCTCCAGATTATACAGTAAAAAATGGCTGCCTCAGGGGTCTACGAAATTAACTTCAATGTTCCTAACATGTTAGCACTGTGTATAAAGTTCTACTCAAGTTTTTGAATTATTAATATACAAAAATATAATTCTAAATTTAAGTAATAGCAATCATTTTCCTTTCTGAAATTAAAAAATGATTAATAACATGTATTTATATTTGGTGTCTTGAACTAGTGTTTTGAGATCTACTGGTAGATCTCAGTTTTATTTGAAAGTTTCCAAACCAATCGTGAGCACCAAACGCCTTCTCAAGCACTGCTGGTGGCAGCATCCTCCCTTTCCTGTCTTGTCATTATGTCAGACTTCAGTGCCACCAGCTCCTCTGTGACTTCAAGGCTTTGAAGAAAGGAAAAGGAACTTCTCACAATGTATGGAGCCCCGATTTAAATAACTGATATTTTAAATATAATTAAGAAATACTTATTCCATAAAAATTTCCTATGTTTCTCAACTTCTCCTCACGAACGGAGAAAGCTTTGAAAGGGAAGGCATTTTGTCAAAACTGCTCCATTTCTTTTTGGTTTAACTTTGGAAGAGCTATTTCTACAAGGCATCCATAAAGTCTAAAAACAGAGATAATGCTTCATTCTCTTACAGATTAGATGCCCAAGAAGCCTTGCCTATGATTCGAGACTTTCTGGACACCTGTGTATCCTTTACGAAACTGAGGCACTTTTAGGTAGAGGGGAAGTTAACGGAAAGTACAGAAGACGAGATGAAAATGCCTAGGATTTCGGCACTTATATCTGCCCTACAAGCTCATGAGGAGAAAAACAAGAGGAAGATGAACAAGCTGAACAGGGGAAAGCTGGGCACTTCCTGTGTGCAAGGGACTGTTTTTGCCATTGGACAGAATAAAGAGGAATACTCACTGCTACTAATATGCATCAAGTGTTGACCATGTGCAAGGTACCGTTCTGATTCATTCACAGGGACAACTCACTTAATCCTCACATTGTGGCGGTACAGTTACTACCTCCACTTTACAGATGAAGCAGCTGAGGTGCAGGGCCTCACAGATGTGAATCCAGGCTGAGCGTACGCTCTTCATTATTATATCATATTAACTATTTTAAAGACTCACTAGGGAATTATACAATTTTAGATTTTTTACAGCATCAGGAATCTTAAGTTGACCTTAACTGTTTTCCTGTAGAGAACAAGACAGCTAACCTCAGTACTGATTGATCTAAGCGAGGAAGCTGCAGATAACTTGACAGTTGATTACAGCCTAAAATAGATCAAGTCACCTATTTCCTCTCCAAGTGCTTTCTAACTCTATCCCAAATACAAGGTAAAATTACTCAAAGTAAGTATTTTAACATTAAATTTTGAGTCACTAGGGTAGTTTGGTTAATGAGTTCAAGGCAGTTTTAAAAAGTGCTCCCAAACTAGACTCACACTGCAGCTTATATACCAGAAGAGTTTGGCTCCTTGGAAGAAATTTCTAAGAACCATCTGAAAAATCCTATAGGGCCATTAAATAATAATCACAGGAATTATTTATACTTAGAAGAACAGCACAAACTGAGATCAGAGCAGGCAGAAAAGCGTAAGGCATCAGATTACCTGTAAGAAAATTCTTATAACAAAATGAAACACCAAAGAAAGTCTTTAAAGGCAGAAGTATACTCTCATCTGTCTGCAATGGGCTGGAAAAGTTGCTTTTGAACTGACTAAAGGCATGAAACTTTTCTGTATTTTTATGTCTCATAACCTCTACCTTATATTCTACTTGCTCTTTCCTTGGAAACCAGTAGAACACAGTATGAAATCAATTGTACCAATATGCTTTTTTGAGATTATTTATTTTTTTCCTTTAGTTGTGAATATCAGAAAGCTGGATGAATAAAATTTTCACAGAAAATGTGTAACACACTGGTAAATTCACTAAAATGTGAATAGCAGATCACTGTAAAGTCTAAAATCAGAAAAGCGTTCATCAGTTATACGTCAATGGAACAAAAAACTCGGGAACCTCGTAGCTATTGCTTCTTGTTCTTCTTGTCACTGAATCAGTCATCAAGTCCTGGGGATTCTGTTTTCTAAATATCTCTAAATGTAGTCTTTGTGTTCTTTCTGCTGTCTTAGATCAGGTCTTAATCACTTCTTTCCCAGATTACTGCAACTGTCTCATAATTATTCTGTCCTCCTCCGCTGCCAGTGCAGTCTTTGTAAAGTGTCAGTATGATGACATAACTTCCCAGAGAAAAACTGGTCTAGGGCTTCCTCACATTTCTCAAGGAAAAAAAATCCAAATTTATTATTATGGCAGAAATCCCCTTTGTCTTTCCCTCTGCCTACTGATATATCACACCTTCACGTGCAATGAGAAGAGCTGGAATCAAAAATATGACACTTTGGTACCTAGTAAGCAGAGCAGTGAAACTGGCTTTTACCAACAGGGAATAGTTTTTACCACATCTTGGGTGCTAGGGGACAGAAATCAAAGCTCAGGGATCAATCTGGACAGTCCAGGAGACCATGCTCATGAACCTGGGATCTTCTCAATGGCTATACCTCTACTAGGTGACTTGCAAGGAAACTTGGCCATCTTGAATGCTGGAATTGAGTGGAAAAGGAACTTTGCCCTTTGAGAATCTGAAAACACATGCTGCCCGCACACAAGCTTGCAGCCTAAATTTGCATTACCCAGACAGCCCACAAAAACCTTAAGCCAAGACAAATGACTCGTTTTTTTCTGATACATAAACTATAGTGAGATAAAAAGGCTAGGGAAGGAGAAGCTATAGACTAAAAGAAATTTATCAGCTGAAATTATTTAGATCCCAATCCTAACAAAGTAAACAAAAATTATGAGACAATGGAGAAATCCAAACACTGGATATTTGATGATATTAAAGAATTATTAATTTTTAAGGCATAACAATGGTATTGTGGTCTTCTAGATAAATATTTATGGATGAAATTATATGATATCCAGGATTTGCATCAAAATAATCTGGGATAGGGGTAGTGAGTGAGGATATAGGTGAAATGAGCCTGGCCGTGAAGTGATCATTGTTGCACCTGGGGGACAGGAACATGTGGGTTCATTATATTACTGTATTTCTGCAGATGCTAAAATCTCAAAATTTCAAAGTTTAAAAAAAGAAAACACCCCACACAGAAATAAAACAGACTCCCAGTTTCAGCTGAGAGACAGGGAGAGATGGAAAGAGCATAGCTCTCACCATTACAACAAGAAAAAAGATGGAAAAACTGCAAATTAATGATTTTTCTTGAACTAATGAGAGCACTAAGGTCATAGAGCAAACAACTAACCTGAAATCTGGAGAGAGACAGGCACCTGCAGGGAGAAAGAGGACCTGTGCATTTGCTTATGAGACAGATGCCACTGAATGCCACACAACATGGTAAGATCACTCTAGGAGTTTTTAGCTAACTGCTAAGCACCGAGTGTAGACTAGCATGAGAGTGTGAAACCTCTGAGACTTGGGGAGTTTGTACCTTTTTGCAGGATTTTCCTCTAGGAATCCCAAGAGGAACTCACAGGGAAGAGCAGAGAGAATCCTGAGAAAGCTTCCTCTTTCCCCTGTTCTCTTGGGGTGGTTGGGGGAGGGCAAGAGCAGCCACTGCAGAAATTCCTCCCAGATACATTTTCTCTCTCTCTCAAGGAACAAAAACCTTATTGACAGGGGGAAATTCCCTTCTTATTTGCCACGTAACAATCGTGGAAGAGACATCCCATCACCTTTGCCCTATTCTATTGATTAGAAGCAGGTTACAGGTCCTGCATACACTCAAAGACGAGGGATTCTTTAAGGGTGCGGGTCATTGTCGGGGATGACATTTTAGAATTCTGCCTACTACAGTGGGTCAAATAGAAAGTACAAAATAAGAAGGCAGAAATAACACATTAAGTGCTTCCACTTAAAAGACAAAGATTATCAGAGTGAATAATCTGACCCACTTAAAATTTTAGGACCTACCCAAAACAGCAGGATTAAAAAAATGGAAAAGTCGCAGCTGGCCCCGTGGCCGAGTGGTTAAGTTCATGTGCTCTGCTGCAGGTGGCCCAGTGTTTCGTCAGTTCGAATCCTGGGCGCAGACATGGCACTGCTCATCGAGCCATGCTGAGGCGGCATTCCCACATGCCACAACTAGAAGGACCCACAACTAAGAATATACAACTATGTACTGGGGGGCTTTGGGGAGAAAAAGGAAAAAAATAAAATAAAATAAAATCTTTAAAAAAAATGGAAAAGATATACAAAGGGAATACTATCAAAAGAAATCTGATTTAACTATATCACTATCAGAAAAAACTTGAAGACAAAAAGCATTAAGGTAAAGAAGTTCAAAGCACAGTGACCAAGAAAATCTCTCTCTAAATCTGTACATATGGAATAACATAGACTCAAAATATATACAACAAAAATTGACAATACCACTAGGATAAATAGCTAAGTACATAATCATGTGAAAGATCTCTCTCAATAAATGATAGATTAATCAGACAAAAAGAATCAATAAGGGTAAAGAAGAGTCTAACATCTAAAAGATATGAAGTTGAATCTAATGAATACAGTGTATATCAAATACTGCATACAACAACTATAGAATATATTTTCTTTTCAAACACATAATGACATAGCACATTTAAAAAAAATTGTCTGGGGGCCAACCAAGTGGCGTAGTGGTTAAGTTCACACTCTGCTTCAGGGGCCTGGGATTTGTGAGTTCAGATCCTAGGCATGGACCTACACACCGCTGACCATACAAAATAGAGGAAGACTGGCGCACATGTTAGCTCAGTGACAATCTTCCTCAAGCAAAAAGAGGAAGATTGGCAACAGACGTTAGCTCAGGGCCAATCTTCCTCATCAGAAAAATAAACTAAATTAATTAAAAAATGTCTGCCTACTGGGCCATAAAATAAGTCTTAACAAATTTCAAGGAATGGGTATCATACAGAGAGATGTTCCCTGATCACAATACAGTTAGGCTAGAAATCTGTAACAAAGAGAAAACTAAGGAAAAAAAAAAAAGAGAGAGATCAAGAAACACTTCTAAATGACTCCTGGGTTAAAGAAGAAACTTTAATAGAAACTGTAAAATACTTTGAATTGAACTATAATAAAAATACCACATATCAAAACTTGTGGACGCAGCTAAAGCAGCACTTGGAGGAAAATGTATAGCCTTAAAAATGCTCATACTATGAAAGAGCAGAGGCTGAAAATGAGCTAAACAAAAGCAGGAAAAGTACAGAAAAATAAAGCCAAAGAAAGCCACAAGAGGAAAATAAAGATAAGAGTGGACATTAATGAAATGGAAAACAAAATGTAATACAGAGGATTAACAAAGTAAAAAATATGCCCTTTAAAAAGACTAATAAAAGTAACAAATCTCTGGTAAGAATAAAAAAGAAAAGAAGAATAAAGGCACAAGTAAACAACTTTAGGAATAAAAGGGGGAAATAAAACCTATTCAGGAGTGGGGCCAGCACCACTGAGTGGTTAAGTTCTCACACTCCACTTTGGCAGCCCGGGGTTTCACTGGTTCAGATCCTGGGCACAGACATGGCAGCAGTGCTTGTCAGGCCATGCCGAGGCGGCATCTCACATGCCACAACTAGAAGGACCCACAACTAAAAATACACAACTATGTACTGGGGGGCTTTGGGGAGAAAAAGGAATAATAAATCTTTAAAAAAAATATTCAGGAGAGGGGCTGGCCCCGTGGCCGAGTGGTTAAGTTCGTGTGCTCTGCTGCAGGTGGCCCAGTGTTTCGTTGGTTCAAATCCTGGGCGCAGACATGGCACTGCTCATCAAACCAGGCTGAGGCAGCGTCCCACATGCCAGAACTAGAAGGACCCACAACGAAGAATATACAACTATGTACCAGGGGGCTTTGGGGAGAAAAAGGAAAAAATAAAATCTTTAAAAAAAAAAATATTCAGGAGAGATTGAGAGACTTATGAACAAGTCTATGCCAAAAATGTGAAAATTTACATGAAATGGATAACTTTCTACATATACACAATTTATAAAAATGGTTTTATAATGATTTCAAAAATTGAATCAGTAGTTAAGAATCTTCTCACAAAGAAAACTCTAGGCCCAGATAATTTTGATGTTGAGTTCCATCAAATTCAAGGAACGAATAATTCCAAACTTACATGAACTATTCTAGAAGATAGAAAAAGAGGAAGCTAAAATTTAAAAGGGAGGAAACTAACAGAGAACTTTTTTTCACCATCCCTACCCAGGAGTATCCTGAAAACCTGCAGAAACTGTCCCATCCACCTAGTCAGCAACACCGAGTCAAGGTGAAGGAGACTTCTAGGAATCTTAGCTGGCGGCTTTGGTAAGGTTATATAATTTTCTCTTTTGATTTTACACTCATCAAGCAACATGCTGATTATGACAACACAGTGTGACTGATTATAAGAAGATGCTGTACTGTTTAAGCAAACATTATCTACAAGTCTGTTAGTCTGATCACCTTCTCATTTTAAACTAATAATTTAGGATCCTGGGTTTAAAAAAAAAGAAAAAAGGGAAATGATAGGTCAATACCAATAACGGCACATACTAAAATGCTAAACAAATCCTAGCAACTATATCCAGCAATGCATAAAAAGGAAATGCAGAATGACAAAGTTGTGTTTATACTAGGGATGCAAAATTGGTTTAACATTAGGAACTCTATTGTAATTCACTACATTAACAGATGAAAAAGAAAAATTACACCATCATTTCAAAAATGTATAAAAAGCATTTGATGAAATTAACATGCATTCAGGAGAAAAGAAAAAAATCTTAGCAAACTAGAAATAGAAGAGAACTTCCTTAACCAGATGTTAAAGGATGTCACAGAAAACCTATAGCAGGGGTCAGTAAACTATAGGATGCAGGTCAAATCTGGCCCGGTGTCTTTCTTTGTTAATAAAGTTTTACTGGAACACAGCTGCACTCATTCATTTGTATTGTCTCTGGCTGCTTTCCAATGGCACAACAGTTGTGACAGAGACTGTGTGGCCTGAAAAGCCTAAAATATTTAATATTGGGCTCTTTACAGGAAAAGTTTACTGACTCTGACCTATAGTAAACATGTTACCAAAAAGTCAGCTTGCACCACTAATTAAGTACCTTACAAACATGTGCTTTTAAAAGGTAAAAATTCTATCTTACCTTTTGTAGAGTGTTTAACGACTTAGAATTATTTTTAGAATTGGCACGCATTGCAGTTTTAGTTAATTTCAACCCCCTTTCACATTGTGCTAATTCCTTTTTGAGTTTTTCTCTTCGTTGCTGGTCTGCATCTGAGGGGGGAAAACAAATCTTTTGAAATATAAAACAAAATAGAAAAATTAATTTTTTAGTCTTGTGAGACTAATAAATGGCACATTTTTTTCCTTATGCTAAAAATGTTTACCCTACTGATATGTAAATAAAAATCCATATACTTTTCTGTATAAAGAGAAGCTAAGATAACAAATATCTAATTTATAGAAACTTTAAATTAACTATGTAAAGAGCACAAACAAGCTATGACAAACTGGCCAAGCTAAGGGCTCAGGAAAGCAATTCCTCTCAGATATTCATAGAGATATGAAGGTTAGAAATGCTTGGCCATGTTTGTCACTCTGTAATCAGCAAACGCAGAGTTCGAATTAGTCCACAGTCTCTCCCCCAAATGAAATATTATTGTTAATACCATCAGGGGCTATGAAAATCTAAGCGTTATATGACTTTAAAAAAAATGACATTACATTTTAAAACACTATTTTCACTCACGATAACTGATTTGTATTTCTCTTAACTGCTATTCATTGGAAAATAAAAAAAGTGGTTTCACGCTGTAGTGTGCTTTAGCTCAGGTACTGAGTCATTATCATAGTCTTATTGCATAAAGACAATGGCAAAATGAAAATAAGTCAAATTTCAGAGTTCAACAGAAGGTTAACCGCAAGTAAAATGATTTGTATTTTCATATAAAATTAAAAATTTAACATATTTTTTATTGGACTCTATCCCAACTTAACGGACAAGACAATTTCAAGTTTGAAATCACCCTGATCTAATTCAGAATTTATAAAAATTTCTACAAGTATAAAAAACAAAGGTAATTTATATATATTTAGAATTTCAACTATAATTATTCAGAAAAGTTGTAAGTCTGCTAAAGTAAATGTATTTATCATTTAAAATGTAGACTGAAACATTACTTTCAGCTTATTCTATCCTCAAATACTTGCTTAATGAATGTGTTAGCTAAACTTTAGTGGATGATAATGTTTGTGGAGTGAATTAAATAGAACTTTCTCAGTCAGATCTATTGTCTTATTCACAGGTAAAATAAGCAAGTAAAAAATATGACAAAGTACAGTCCTCAGATACTGTCACTAATAAAAACCCCAGTATTACCAAATCCGTCCAACGTATTCATTTAAGTAAAGCCTCCTCACAGCATACACAAAAATCTACTCTAACTGGATCACAGACCTGAATGTAAGAGTTTAAACTATAAAACTCTTAGAAGAAAACATGGGAGTAAATCTACAGGACTTTGGGTTAGGCAAAGATTTCTTAGATACAAAAGCAAAAGCACAAGCAAAAAGAAAGATAAATTAGACAATCAAAATGAAAAACTTTTATGCTTTTTAAAAAGGGAAGCCACAGATGGGGGAAAAATATTTGCAAATCAAATATCTAACAAATACTTGTATCCAAAATATATAAATAATACACAGCTCAATAACAACAAGACAAATAATCCAACTTAAAAACAGGCAAGAGATTTAAATAGATTTTTACCAAAGATATACAAATGGTCAATAAGCATATGAAAAAAATGCTCTACATCATTAATCATGAGTGAAATGCAAATTAAAACCACAATGACATACCACTTCACACGCACTAGAATGGTTATAATCAAAAGAGAGTCAATAACAAGTGTTAGCAAGAATATGGAATAACTGAAATCCTAATACATTGGAGGTAGGAACGTAAAATGGTACTGCCACTTTGGAAAACAGTTTGGCAGTTTCTTAAAAAGTTAAATATAATTTTCCATATGACCTATCAATTCCATTCTCAGGTACATACAAGAGAAATGAAAACATATATCTACACAAAAAACTTGTACATTGTTGTTCATAGCAGCATTGCAAAATAGCCAAAAAACAGAAACAATACAAATGTTGATCAATTGATGAACAGATAAAATATGGTACTGTGCACATAATGGACTCATATTCAACAATTAAAAGGAATGAAGCACTGATACAGGCCACGACATAGATGAATCTCAAAAACATTATGCTAAATGAAAAGCCTAATACACAAAACCACATAAATGCTTCCATTTAGATGAAATATCCAGAAAAGGCAAATCTATAGAAAAAGAAAGTAGATTAGTGGTTTCTTGATGCTAGAGGTGGGAACAGAGAGCAGCTGCAAATGGGTACAAGGGATATTTCGGGGGAGACGGAAGTATTCTAAAATTGGTTTGTGGTGACAGCTGCACAATTTTGTAAACTTAGTAAAAATCAGTGAATTTTATGGTATGTAACTTATTTGTCAATAAAACGGCTATAAAAAGTAAAGCCTTTCTAATGCATTAGAACATGGAATAATTTAAACAATTCAATAAACTACGTAGAGATATTCTAGTTTAGACACTATGAAGATTGACATTATCAAGTCAGTAGTTTGCTATGACGGAAGACTGTATCTTATAAAAACAGAGAAGTCTCACACCCAGAGATTTATTTCTTTTTAATGTGTCTATAAAACCTGTTTCTAAGTTAGTTATACTGATTATAATGAACATCAGCTCTATAACACAAGAAGTAATAAGAATTATTAATTACACTTTAGTTTGGTGATTACAATATTTGCAATTCTTCTAGTCACTATCACAATTTTCTTCATTTACACGGCAAAAAAAGAAAAACTCCAGCTTCAACTGATTGAGAGTAGAAAATACCATGGAATAAATAAGCAATAGCTAAGTCTAAATTCTAAAACCAAAAAATAGGAGCAATTCTTTAAATACAACCTATACGTTGTCAACTCCTGAATTTTTATCTCCACTCTGGAACTCTCTCCTGAACTCCAGACTTGTTGGTAGGAAGATAAAACAATGCAGCTGCCAGAGAAAACAGTATGGTTGTTTCTTAAAAAATTAAAAATAGAATTACCATATGATCCAGCAATTCCACTTTTGGTATATACCCAAAAGAATTGAAAGCAGCGTCTCAGAGATATTTGTACACTCATATTCATAGAATGATTATTTGCAATAGCCAAAAGGTGGAAACAACTCAAGTGTCCACTGACTTATGAATGTATAAACAAAATATGGATTATATAGCCTTAAAAAGGATGGAGAATCTGACATATATTACCACACGAATGAACCTTGAGGACACTATGCTAAGTGAAATAAGCCAGTCACATAAGGAAAAACACTCTATGATTCCACTTACATGAGGTACCTAGAATAGTCAAATTCAGAGATACAAAATAGAATGGTGGTTGCAAGGGAGAAACGGGGAGTTATTGTTTAATGGGTATGGAGTTTCAGTTTTGCAAGATGAAAAGAGTTCTAGTGGTGATGGTTGTCCCTTAACATGAATGTGCTTAATGCCACTGAACTGTAGACTTAAAAACGGTTGAGATGGTAGATTTTATGCTATATGTAGTTTATTACAATTTTTTTGAAAAAGGCAATGTCAAAAATTACTTACATTTGATGCTGGTACTCATGCTTAATGGAACTGAGCAGTCTACAATAGCTGAAAGAGAAAAATCAGTTGTTTAATAATATTTGTAATACTTATAAATGACAATAAATATCAAATGTGGAAATCACAAAAAGTCCCAGAACTTGCAGTTCCTTGTTTTGATTTTTTTGGTACTTCTAGAGAGGAAAAATTTAATATCCTTGATAAAAAAATACACTGGCTGGGATTAACAGCTCATTAGATACTGCAGAAGGAAATACTAATGAACTTGAAAACACAGCAATATAAGTTAAAACTATGCAAAATGAAACAGACTAAAGAAAGACTGGAAAATAAATACACATAGTATCACTGCCCTAACCTACCTGTATCATGCACTTAACCTACTGGTAATTGGAGTCCCAAAACAAGCTTGAAAAAAAAGAGCAAAATTGGAGGACCTACATGGTCTGACTTCAAGACTTACTATAAAGCTATAGTAATTAAGACAGTGCAATACTGTAATAAAGACAGACAACAGAAGCAAAGAGTAAGTCCAGAAACAGACCCACGTATATGGTCAATTGTCTTTCAAAAAGTGCCAAGGCAATTCAATAGAGAAAGGACAATCTCTTTAACAAATGGTACTGGGAATATGTGGATATCCAGAGGAAAAAAACAGAGCCTTGTATCATATCATATACAAAAACTAACTCAAAATGGAGCACAAACTTAAATGTAGGAGCTAAAACTTATACTTCTAGAAGAAAACACATAAGAAAGTCTTAGTGACCTAAGATTAGGCAAAGATTTCTTAAACCGAATATGAAAAGCATAAACTATTAAAAATTGAAAAGCTGAATTTGATTTCACATGTCACAAAATACTATTTTTCTATAGATTTTTTAATCATTTAAAAGAGAAACTTCATGAAATATGAACTAAAATTTAAAAGCTTTAGTCTTTAAATGAGAAAATAAAAGGTTTTAAAATTAGTGAAAAACTGGTAAAATTCAAAGAAGATCTGTAGTTAACAGTATTGTATTAATATTAATTTCCTGGTTTTAATAATTGCACTATGGTTGTGTAAGATTATAACGTTATTTGTAGAACAACTGACTGACATAGGAGGCGCATTTAATACATAAAGAATTCTCACAACTTAATGCTAAGAAGGCAAAAAACCCATTGTAAAAAGTGGGCAAAAGATCTGAACAGATATTTCACCAAAGAAGATATCCAAATGGCAAATAAGCACAAGAAAAGTTGCTCAACATTATTAGGCATTAGGGAAATATAAACTAAACCCTTGTGAAACACTATTACACATCCACTAGAATGGCTAAAAAAGGATTGCCAAGAGGAAGTGTTGATGAGGACGTGGAAGTGATGGATATGCAAGATGGTAGTCACTCTGGAAACAGTTTGGCAGTTTCTTATAAAGTTAAAACGTACACTTACCTTATACCTCACCATTCCATTCCTAGTAAACAAATTTATCCGAGTGAAATGGAAATACATGTTCAAAGACTGTATATTTATAGCAGCTTTATTCCTAACAGCGAAAAGTGAGTCAAAACAATCCAAATGTCCACCAACTAGTGAAATGATGAACAAATTGTGATATATTCAGAAACACTGATACACACACAACAACACAGATTAGCCTCAAAATCATTAGCTAATTGAAAGAAGCCAGACCCCAAATAATAAATATTTCATGCTTCAACGAATAGAAATTCTTTCTAGAATTCTTTCTAGGCAAAACTATTGTTATAGCAGATCAGTGGTTAGCAGCAGTCGGGGAGAAGAGACTGACTGCCAAGGACTCGGGAGAACTTCCTAGGGTGACGTAACGTTCTGTATCAGGGATCAGCAAACTTCTCCTGTAAAGGGCCATCTAGTAAATGTGTCAGGCTTTGCAGCTTCATATGGCCTCTGTCACAACCAGTTAACTCTGCCTTTTAGTGAAAAAGCGTAATTATGTTTACTTATGGAAAATGAAACTTGATTTTCATCTGACTTTCACATGTTACAAAATATCATTCCTTTGATTTTTTCCAAACATTTAAAAATATAAATACCATTCTTAGTTCACAAGCTATACAAAAATAGGTGACAGGAGGATTTGGCCTCAAGTTGAAGTTCGTTGTCCCTTGATTTATAGCATGATTGTGGTGGTGGTTATACAAATGTATATATTCTTCAAAATATTGAACTATATAATTAAAATAAGTTCATTTCATTGTATAAGATATATCTCAATAAAGCTGGCAAAAATAGTAGTTAGCATCCTCTTTGTGAAACTTCAGGAGATTTGAAAACAAAAAAGCAGACTATAAACTTTTATTAGATTAAAATCTATATCTAACCACAAAATAATACTAGGGATAACACAGGTAAAATGAAATAACATAGGCATTATACAATTTCAAATACAGTTAACAAAAACGGCATTCTGAATTTGCTATGTATATAGAGTCATTAGCTAATATCTCACTCATTACAACAAACACAAGTCCATTTATATATATTCATTTTTGCTACAGATTTACTCTAATTAGAAGTGAAGCTGAAGGTTTAAATTGGGTACAGAAAGTTCACATTTGTACATTTTTACCTTTGGCTGAAAGGATTTTATTATAGTGAACAGCCATGTGATTCTTGACAAGGTGGAGAGTACTTAGTCTGAGAGAGGAGGAGTCAGTGCAAAAAGCTAAAAATTAAAACATATTTAATCATTATATATTTAAAATTAATAGAAAAATCATCACAAGATAGACAAGTTACTGATTATCAAGCTCATTTTTATAAAAGATTCTGAAATTCAACCACAGATACACTGACATTTTAACTTTGTCATGTTGAAAACGTCCCAGCCTTAACCTTGCACTGGTAACTGATGAGCTGTTGAGCACTTGGGGTCAGACCTTTCTAAGAATAAGTTTTACAAGCGTGAGAGTTTTGTGAAGAAATTCTAGAATTTAATCTGAATTTAATCTATCGTTACATTTACAAAACTATTTCTTATCAAGAGCTCTTAATCTTGTAACTAAAAATGTTTAAGAACCTGCCTGATGAGAAAATAATGTTACCATTGTTCATACTTGAATACATGGAATTTGGGAAATCAAACAAATCTAAAACTCCAAAACTCTACGCAAAGATTCTATTCTGAGAGGCCAACTTCTAACTTTACACCTGAAAATAAGCTCTGCAAATCAGTTCGCTGCATTCTTTTTGAAGTAGCAGGACTATTTTAAGACAAGTACAATCACGTAGAAATTCCACGACATTACGCTTCTTGACCTCATCTAAACTTATTAAAAGAAATCTTAGAAATAATTAAGCACTTATAGTCAAGTATAAACGTATAAAACATAAATGTAATTTTTTTAAACATTAAAAACAGTTTTTGAGAAGTACTACATGCACATGGTAAAAAAAAGTAATCAACACCTAAAACAGCATATAGAGATTGAAAACTAAGTGAATTTCCTGCCCCAACCCCTAGTCTCCCCTCCTAGAAGTATATTCTGCTACTTTTTTAATGCATCCTTCCAGGGAAATTCTATGCAATAATATAACCATATACAATAATGATAAGCTTGATACTACTACAAACATTTATTGAATACATACCACGCATGCACTGTTCTAAGCTCTTTACATGTCAAATCTCATTTAGTCATTATTATTACCATTTAATAGAAGTGGAAACTGAGGCACAAAGATGTGAGTAAGGTCTTGAAGGTCACACAGCTGATAAAGGATGTGGTTTAGATGTGAACCAAGGGAGCCTCATGCTTACAACCACTATACACACCTACACCAGCTCTGTACCTGCGTTCTTCAAAAAAGAGTTAGCAAACTACATATTGTTCTTTCTATGTATCTTGCTTTTCTATGTATATATACTTAAAATCTCATTTTAAATTTTTAGTTAAAACTTATTTTTCAAAGTTTAGGATTCTGGCTCTGTGCATATATACTTTATTACAAGGAAATAAGTGAGGTAACTGAAAATGTGATCCTTCCTTCACAGTTGAAGGAACTAGTACCAAAGATTTTTCATGCAACTAAGGAAGAAAAGACTTTCGATTATTTCGCCTAAAAACACAGACTTAAAACTTTTAAGCTCTAATTATAAAGATACATTTCAAATTCACATTAAAATTTTACTTTAAAGGCTTAAAAATGTGAAAACATCAGAGAAAACAGAGATTCCCCTTTCCTGGGATCTAGAACCCCAGTTGGATAAGAGACGTGTTCTGATACAAAATGCATTTTTCCAGTGCTCTTTTTCTCTACACAGCTTTTCTTTTTCAGAGTTTTTTTTTTTTTTTTTTGCTGAGGAAGACTTGCCCTGAGCTAACATCCATGCCCGTCTTCCTCAACTTTATATGTGGGATGCCTGCCACAGCATGGCTTGCCAAGCAGTGCCATGTCCACACCTGGGATCTGAACTGGTGAACCCAGGGCCGCCAAAGCGGAATGTGCACACTTAACAGCTACACCACTGGGGCGGCCCCAGAGCTCGTGTTTTTAACAAGGCGTTGGTCTCCACTTTAATAAGGCAGGCATGCCTGAAGCTGGGTGGCAGGCCTGAGGCGAGGAGCACAGCTGGGCTGGAGCTGCAGCAGGGAGGGGCTGGTCCGCATCCAGGGCATGACAGCAGTTTGGAATGACAGACTCCTAAATTAGCTAATAATATGAAGTTCAAATATTGGTTAAATGAAGTAATGTTTTTCACTATATTATATAATTTATAAATAAAGAAAACAGACACTTTGTCATCCTTTAAGAAACAATCTTTTATCATTTTAAGGGCCTCACTTACCATTACTTTTGGTGCTCAAGTGTCCTTTAAATAGATCTGGTGGACTACATCTGAGAAGGACAGAGGTTGCCCTGGCTTTTAACAGAATAATATGAATTAGGATAAATGAAACACAGCTTTCACAAAGACAATAATATTGAACATTTGAAAAATATTAAATTTATCTTTAACTACCAGTCATTTAAAATTTTATTCAATCACATTAATAACCAGCAATGATATATCAGACAAAAATTCTGCAGCCATAGATAAAATGTTTTCTTTTTTAAGAACATAAGTTATTTTCAAAAGAGTTGTACCTTGAGATGTTAGCTGCACTGGGTAAAATGATAAATAAATCAATTCTGTTATTTGATATACGCTGATTTCATTCTGTACGCCACCGACCTACTGGATTTTTAAATGATTTTGAGATAGAACAGAACTGAGATTTTGAGTCTATATATATGTACTAACTATTTCAGTTAATCATAGGCTAGTCTATCCTTAAAAATAATTTTAAGAAACTAATCTTCACATGAAGTAATTGAGTAAAATAGAAATTATATGTTACTATGTATAATATGTGTGTGTGTGTGAGAATCAGAATTTAATGTTTAAAAGATGTCTTCAGGCTCACCTAGTCCCACCCACTTACGCTCTTGCTTGGGTGCTATCTAAACAGCCTATAATTAAAAGCACTTCTAGTAAAGGAAAACCATCTCCCCTAAAGGCAGTGTCTCATCTTCAAGACCAGATGGAATGTTAGAAAATTAGATATATACCTCATAACAGAATAATTTCTCTCTCCGAAAAGTGACTGTGCGTTGAGGGGTAACCTCCACAATAGGAAGGCTGAGTTACAAGGTTTGATGGAATTTAACATGCAAAATATAAATAGTGTATCGCCAATTTACTCATCAGATAACAGAATATTGAGGGGGACTGTGATTAAATTTGAGGGATAATTCATAAAGCCTGTGACAAATAAAACAATCGTTGTGGCTGTTGGGACTGTGTAGAGAATGGTCAGAACACGTTCACTTTAAAAAAACAGCTTTGGTGGCATATAATTCACATACCATACAATTCACCCATTTAAGTGTACAATTCAGGGGTTTCTAATACAGAGTTGTGTAAATTAATTTAAGAACACTTTCATAGAGAAACGGAGAGGAAACACACATTTATATTGTCTTTTAGAATTACTTTTACTATGCTGTTTGTTTTTTTAAAGTTCCTTTAGTTTTCCTCCTCCCCAAAGCCCCAGTCCATGGCTGTACATGCTAGTTCTAAGCAGTCCTAGCTGTTCTGTGAGCCGCCGCCACTACAGCATGGCAACTGACAGACGGGGGTCGTGGTTCCCTGAGTGGGACTCGAACCTGAGCCACCAAAGCAGGAGCGCCAAACTTTAACCACCAGGCCACCAGGGCTGGCTATTGTTCCTCCATGTGGATTCAAATTGCCCTTCCTTTCGCATTTTTTGGTAAGGTGAGTATGCTGGAAATGAATTCTCTCAGCTTTTGCTTATCTGGGAATATTTTGCTTTTGCTTTCATTTTTGAAAGATAGTTTTGCTGGAAATAAAATTCTTGTTTGACAGTTTTTTTCCTTTCAGCACTTTGAAAATGTTGTCCCACTGTCTTCTGGCCTCCATTGCTTCTGATCAGAAGTCAGCAAACCTTGCTTCCTGTTACACGATGTCATATTTTCTTTCTGTTTTCAAGATTTTCTTTTCATCTTTTTACTAAGATGTGTCTGTGTGGGGATCTCTGTGTTTGTTAAACTTGTAGTTCACTGTGCTGCTTTGATGTGATTAGTGTTACTCAGCATATTTCAGAAGTTTTTAGCCATTATTTGAAATTTTTTTCTGCTGTCTCTTCTTTCCTTTCAATACTCCCATTACATATACGTTGCTGTGCTTAATGGTATCTCACATTTCTCTGAGTCTCTGTTCACTTTTCTTTATTCTGTTTTTCAGATTATGTAATCTCTATCAATCTTTTTTGAAATTTGCGATTCTTTCTTCTGCCAATTCCAATCTACCGGTTAACAATTTTTCATTCCAGAATTTCCACTTGGTTCTTTTTCATAATTTCTCTTTAAAAATATTCTCCATTTGAGGAAACACTATTGCCATAGCTTCTTTTACTTAAGTGTGGTTTCTGTTCTTTGAACATATTTATAATGGCTGCTTCAAAGTCTTTGTTAAATCTGTTAACATAGACAGAATTGAAGGAAGAAACAGATAATTCATTGGGCCCTCTCATAGGCAGTTTCTGGTACCTGCTTTGTTTCCTGTGTATGAGTCACAATTTCCTGTTTCTTTGCATGACATGATTTTTGTCATTGAAAACTGGATGTTTTAGGTAATACATTCTAACAACTCTGGATAAGGAGTTCTTTCCCTCCTCTCCTGGGCTTATTTTCACTGCTGATTGCTTGTTTATTTTATTTAGTGACTTGGCTAAACAATTTAATGACATCCCTTCCCCTTATAGTGTGAAGCCCCTAATGTCAGGCCTCAGGGGGTGTAGCTTCAGGCATGTGCACAGCCACCTTGGGAGGACTGGTTTTAGTGGGGCCTTTCGTTTTCATTGATGTCTCTGTTGAGCTGTCTGCATCACTTGCTATCACACCACTATTAGGCTCCACTAATTGCTGGCTGATTGCTTTACTGTTTTCCACAATGACTTGGGGCCTATGTTGCTCCATAGTCTGGTCCAATTAAATTCAGGCAGGGGTAATTTTTGAGGCCAAATTTGGAAGTTTCTTATGACCCCCAAGAGGTCATTATTATTAGCTGTCTCTTTCCCTGGCTCTCTCTGATAAACTAGCTGGCCTCTGGCTTAGCTTGTTGTTCTGAGAGTCATCAGTCTCTTCTTAATAGCTTACCACTAACATCTCCATTGTTTTCAAGAACACCCTTAGGCTTGAACTTTCCCACACTTGTTTCAAATTAAGTCAGTGCCTTTGGGGAGAGGTTGGAGTTCTTTCTTCTCATACTGCTTTTTCACACAGGTAAAATATCTGAGCACTGCTCTGGCCCCTGGGTGGGGGTAGTAGCCCCTGGTTTACTCAGCTTGCCTCTTCCAGTGTGAAACCTCTATCCTACTAATGAGCTGGGGAGAGGGCAAGCTGGACCTCAGTATTCTAGCACTGCCACACCTCAGATAAAGCCTCTGCCCCATAAGGCTGTGTCAAGGAAGAGAGCCCCTGACCTCTGAACCACACTTATCAGGAATTCAGCCTCTGTAAACCTGAGTAGAGGGGATGAGAAACAATGCTGGCCTGCCCCTCCTGGTCAGCTATGACATCCTTTGGGAGCTAAAAATGAGGGAGAATCCCATCTTCGTGATCATATCTGCCCAGAGTGTAGCTTCTGTCAAACTGAGCTGGGGTGGCAATGAGGTAAGGAGTAGACTCTGGCTCAAGCGCCACAGACTCTTGCTGTTATTACCAAGTTTCAGTAGATTTTCTCATATAAATATTTCATCATTCACTGAATGCCCTTATGGTAATTTCCAGAGACTTTAAATGCTTATGTGTGTTTAAAAAAAAAATTTCAGGGGCCAGCCCCATGGCTGAGTGATTAAGTTCACGCGCTCTGCTTCAGCAGCCCAGGGTTTTGCCAGTTCGGATACTGGGCGCAGACATGGCACTGCTCATCAGGCCATGCTGAGGTGGCGTCCCACATGCCACAGGTAGAAGGACCCACAAGTAAAAACGCACAACTAGGGGGGGGGGGGGGGGGGGGGGGGGGGGTTGGGGAGAAAAAGGAAAAATAAATTCTTTAAAAAAAAAAATTTCACCAGTTATGCCTCTTTCACGGAGGAGGGGCATCTCTTGCGCTGCTATTCTACAAGTGAGATTGTTTACTTTTAAGCAGAATAGTTGTATCTTGTTAGGCAGAAATATAGAGCTGTTTTATTCTTGTAAGGAAGCTCAAATGTGTGTAGCAGGGTGCATGCAGATGGAAGCTGAGGAGCCAAAGTGGTAGACTGTGCTAGTTATCAAATTATCGCCTCTCAGCTCCAAATTCACCCTTCAATACATGCTCTTCAACAAGAAAAATCCCTCTAAACAATTCTCCTTTATCAGTAGAGGGCCCTGGAAGAACGCTATAGGAGGAAGGAGCTCACCTACTGTTTCTTGCCACTGAATGGTGGGTCAGCATTGCAGGTTTAAGGAGATATGGTGGTACTCTACCTCCAACCATGAACCCAGAATGCAGCCCCTCAGTGAGTGACCAGAGTGTTAAGAGGTGATCACAAGGCCAGGTATGGCCCTCCTCCTATCCAGAGGTTTGTGTGCCATGATCCCATGACCTTATGAGAGGGTTAATATGTGCTACAGGCTTCTTGTCACCCCACGACCCCCATTCTCTCCAAGACATGTGCTCCTGGCCACTGGCTGAAAACCTGTCCATGAGATTGAAGGTGCTGCTAGGGTAGTGAAATTTATCAGTATGTGTGAGCAGCCCAGTTCCCTACACAGTGTGATTTCACTAAGATAGCCAGAAGACTCTGGGGAGGAAAGGTGAAGGTTTCTCGTGGCAAAGTTTCCCAGGAAAACCAGATGTCTGGGAATCTGATGCCACTGATAAGTGTTTCTATTGGACCAATAGATTAAAAAAAAATATTTTTCAATCCACTTTCAGGTATCTATACTAATAAGTTGTCTTCTCTCCTTTTCTCCCCAAAGGTCACTGATAATAGAGCAGATGGCAGTTCGTTATTCTCAATCTTTTCTTCCCTTTCCCCCTTGGGAAGCTGGAAAGAAGAGCTTACATATAGATTATCTAGTGCAAGCCCACCGTTTTACAAATAACTAAGGCCCAGAGAAGCAAAGTGACTTGCTGAAGATTACCTAGTTCCCAGCAAACAAAGATTACAAGCAAGATTTACTGGTTTTCAGCTAGTGCTCTTTCTATGACACCACCACACAGAAGGTCTGGCGCACAAAAGAATGTCTAGAAACGTGATTACAGAAGAGAATTTTTTTACTTTACGTGTCAATATTTTGTGCCCTGAAATCAAAGGTAACTTCTTAATGCAATAAAAGAAATTTAGAAAGTGCAATATTTTCAATTAAAATTAAATATTTTAGCTTTGGCTAAAATTACATATGTTTTCCTATTAATAATAATTATGGTACATGAGATCTGACTGTTTCAGATATTTGTTGAATATTACATTTGTTGTAAAAATTCAAAATCACTAACAGTGTGTGATACCATATATTATGAAGTTAAAGTGGGTAGATTATAAAAATATAAACTTCTCACATTTTGACATGTACCTAACTTTAAAAATACTTCAATAAACAAATACTGAGAACATACTAATTCTATTACAGTCTAAATTTGACATATATCCTTTCCCATGTAAATAAAAACAATGGCTCTAGGGTTTCACATTCCTCACCTGGATTCAAAGCCTGTTCTGTCCCTTACCATGACCTTGGCAAGTAATTTACGATCTCTTATTCACTGTGAAATAAGGATAATACCTATCTAACAAGATGTTGTTGTAGGTTAAATAATGAGATAATTTAGGAATAGTTTCTGACACACAGCAAGGGCTTAATGTTAGTTTATGTTGTAAAATTCCTGAAAACCATAAAAGCATGTTGGTTTGCTTTTTCTGGAACTTAGGCTGGTAAAGTGTCAGAATATAGTCTGCTAATCAATGGATAGTTCTCTCCTACATTCAGAACAGCACCCGTTTTGATCAATGATTACATAATAAAGGTACACTCATACTCAAAGCAAGGCTTATTGCAAGGAACCATCTAGCAGCTTGCTTTAAAGGTACTTTTAAAAATAGATAAGAACACTGAATGGGGAGGGGAGGGTCTGGAGAGTGCCTTATTTGGCTTGAGGAAAGAATGCTACTTGCTCAGAAAGGGTGACGATTCAAATTATTTGGGCTGGGCTGATTCGCAGAGATTTAAAGTTATATGACCCCAGCTGTTCCACCATGATGTCCACTCGACTCCGAGTATTCAGTCAAGGGCAGGTGTATATAGCGATTATGGATTAGTCCTTTGCTACTAAAACTGTAGCTAGCAACACTGCAAAATTTGGAAGCTTATTAGAAATGTAAAATCTCAGCCCCCACCAGACCTACTGAATCATAACCTGCGTTTTAAGGGGATTCCTATTCACATTAGAGAATCCTGGGGTTACTCAACAGTTTGGGGGGGAGGGAGTTTGCTACAGAAAGGAAGATTTCGTGTTTACGGAGTACTTAAAATGTGCCAAGAGCTTTATCTGTATTATCTGCGTTTAATCCTCAACAACTCTAGGACGTGGAATGTTTTAGCCCGCGTTGAAGAGACGACGAAATTGAGCGTCGCCCCTGTGCAGAGCAGCAGCGCTTGATTTGGGGCCTAGGAAGGTTTGACTCCAAAGACCAAACTAGTTCGTCCGCCTCGGAGCCATCAAGGTTAACAGACTGCACGACTCCGGGTTCAGGGAACCGGGCTTGCCGGAGTCATGGCGACAAATTTAGAGCAAGGAGCGGACCTGAGAACCCGGCAAGCAGGGTCTCCTCCAGTGCGCGGGGCCTGGGCAGATCGAGGCAACACTCAGGTCAACACCGACGACCAAGCAGGGGACCGGGAGCGCCCAGGGTGCTGCCTCGACCCGCGCAGCCCGGACCCGGACCCAGACCCGAGGCCCGGACCGCGGGCGGGCGCGAGGCGCCGGTCACCCGCGAGAGCTGCCCTTTACCTCTCCGGCTGCCATCCATGCTTAGCTCCTCTTGCAGCCGCCGTGGGGACACGCTGGGTCCCCTTCGGTCCTTCCCCGGGCCGGGCCAGCCCCGGCAGCAGAGGATGGATAAAGAACAGCCGGCTGCGGGCGGCCCCGGCTGGAGACCGCGACCAGGCCGGTTGCTAAGGGCCGTTGGGCGGTGTCGGGATTGTGACGTCAAGGCGCAGGGACGTGCGCTCCCGAAGCCCCGCCCACGGCGGTACCCGGAGAGTGGCGATCCTGTGAACGCAGGGACCAGGAGGGGAAAGCGCCCCAAGCGCCAGATATGGCTCTGGGATCCTGCCAGTCATCCACAGAGCGGCCTCTTGTCAGGAACCAAGTCACTAGCACCAGGCAGGCCTTGTCTCTGCGGGAAGAGCGGGGAGAGAAGGGGTCTCATCTGGCATCCATGTCCCCTGGGTCCCGGGAAAAAGTCAAACGCAAATGTTGGTTGAGGTCAGGGTAACATTTAACCAGTTCCAAATAATTAAATTTCAAAGCAGTCCGTGAACATTTGAACTAGTGAAAGTCCTGGGGATGAATAGCGTCTACATATTTACATCTTAATTCTTAACCTCAATCATCAGTTTGCATTTCCTTTGCTTACTGAGCTTCCTCCCTTTTCTCCCCACTCTCCAGCCCTTTTTTGCATGAGGGCTCCAATCTGTTTTCGTTTACGGTGGAAGAGAGTTGCAACATGAACGAGGCGTTGATTGATCAATGGCTTTCTACAATTTGTTTAATTTTGAAGGAGTTACCTTTGAATTCTTGGAAGTAAGATGAGAATAGGGAAGGAAGCATACTGTATTGTAGCGCTCCTCATCAGCGGCACTACTGACATTTTGGGCTGGATGCATAATTCTTTGTTGGGGGGGAGAGCCCTGTGCCCTGTGCATTGTAAGATGTTCAGCAGCATTCCTGGCCTCTACCCACGACATGCCAGTAGCAACCCACCCACCCTACTCCCAGGTTGTGACAATCCAGCCATTGCCAAGTGTCCCTTGAGGAGAAGAATCGCACCCCCGCATTGAGAACCTCTTCTGTAATGGAAAGAGTACTGGCCTTGGCGCCAGATATGTGGAACTTAATTGTGAGATTTCTGCCACTTGGCAGCTTCATCTTACCTCTCTGAGCTTCAGGTCCCTCTTCTCTAAAATGTAAAAATGCTAACTTTGTAGCACCGAGGTTTAATGTTTACAGCACCAAAGAGTTATTCAACAATTAATAGTTTTCTCTCTTCTAAAACTCCTGTTTCAGAAGAGCTGAGATATCAGGGAATTCAGGCATAAGGGAGTAAGTCAGGAATCCTATAACAAGGAAAGGGGAATAAGCCAGAAATCCAGTTATAGCTAACACCTGAACTCCTGGTTCTCTAAGTCTCTAGGATAGGGAGATAACTAGATTCAAAATCTGAGGAATGTGGAAGGGTGTTGGATGGCTCTGTAGCCCCAACACCAAAGGTCATTTAGAAGGATACAGGAGCAGAGAGTCAGATGTTACTCAGAGAACAAAAATTCTCTTGTCTACCTACTCACTAATGCTTGAAATCCCTATCTAAGAACATGAAGCCTTTTATTCTACTACTGGAAAATACCTTGTATGTAATAGGCCTCCAATAAGCATTTGTTAAATTGAATTAGAGCTAAAGCTTAAAGGGCAAACACCCCTGGGAGAGGTAACACAGTGACTTGATTCACACAAAGGTGATGCTAACTCCTTTTTTGAAAGTAGATTTTAGGACGAAAAGTAGATTTTGCTTTGAAATAGGAAAGTGTCTCCAAGATTGGGAGAAGACAGCAAAATGGGAGAGTGTTCTGGAAACAACGTTGCTTGGTATCCAACTTCACTTGAAGCCATTCTCATTTCATTATTTCTCTTTTAAGTATTTTGTTCCAGTTCTTTCAAGAAATGCACAATAGGGTCTTTTTCTCTTCAATTTTAGTGGTGAACATATTATCATAAGTGCAGTTTAATTTGTCCTTGGCTTTCACTCTGTGTATATAACAAGAGAGAGAAGATGCTTTCTGGTTGCCATTCCCAGAAGACAGTTCATGATCATAGACAGATGCACGCAGCTAGTATGGGCTTATTGTGGAAGTGGCTCCCAGGAACACCCCTCCATTGTGGGAATCACCACCAGCTGCAATGGCCTTCAAGAGTAGGCATTCTTGAAGACCTTTTGTTGAATATTTAAATATGAATTTCACATTGTTAAGAAATTATTCCGATTATTCCAATGGTATATTGTTATTGATATCTAGGAATTTGTATATGTGTATTGTAGAAGGAAAAGCTTTCTTTTCTCTAATGAATTGTCATACTTTACTTATTGGGTTTCTCTTTTTGTCTTAGCTAACAGGAAGCTCAAAACTAAGAGTTTTGTTCAGTTGCAATAATTATTCATAACCTACTTTTCTGTTTATCTCTTTAATTCCTTTTATTAGGCAGGTGGTTTTTTTTATTCTACTCTTATTTTAGTGGCTCAGTTGGACCTATACTTTATTGAATGAGCCCTGAGTGCTTTGGAAATGTAGATATAAATAAAATAAACTATATATTATACATACCATAATATATAGTCTAATACATATAAGTGGTTTATTTATTGCATTTTATTATTATTTTAAAATATATTATATTATTATATATACATTTAATGTATATATTGATAGATGACCCTTAGTTTCATAATTCAGAGGATTCCTGGAATTCATGTTGATCTGTTTGGACATGCTTATCACCATCAATGAAAATTATCCAGTAAATGCAGTAAAGGTAATAAGAGGTAAAAGGCCAAGATAATCTTTTTCCATTCAAGTTATTATGAACATATTTTAATTTTTAAAGTTCCTGAAAGACAAAAAAGAAACCCATTTAGGAAATATTTTTTAAGCAATACCTACCAGGGCAGAATAAAAGAAATAGAATTAAATGATGTGTGTGCACTTTGTGTTGAACTCAGTCTCAAAACAAAATCCCTTAGGTTTTGGTGACTGAAGAATGCTTGAGAATTTGAGTTATTGACTATCCCTCAGTTATTCTCCAATCAAAATACTGTAGCTATTGGTTCATCTAATAACTCACTGAGCAAACAGAACTTGGAGCATGGACATATTAGCATGTTATGAAGTAATGGATTAATTTGCTGTTTGTCACTAGAGGGGGCTTTAGGAAAGTTTTAAGCTGCATCCCTGTATGGAGAGCAGCCAAGCTGAGGCAGCATTAACCTACACATCTTATTCAAGGAGTGTAAGGTGCAACTCAAAAACATTTTTAAAAGTGACTCCAAGATGGAGCTTTCCCATTGTTGTTGACGTATATCGTAAGTTCTTTTTTGAGCACAGGAAAAAATTATTGTATTATCTACAGGTCCTTAATAGATCGAAAATCTTCATAATTGTCAACCTATAACTTGATTTTTCTTAATTTTATTTTTAGAGATGGAGAACAGGAGCGACCATAATTCTCTAAAGCAATATATGCCTAACAGATGGATAAGAGAGAGTGAAAACAGGATGTACTGACCCCGAAGGACCATTTGGAGTTCTCTTAAGGAATAGAACTCTGATATCTGACCACAAATATAATCTTGTCCATAGAGAATGATCTTTGTCAGAACTACAAAACCACACAGTTTGCACTGCACTTTTAAATGTGCGCCATTCCACACTTTATTTTCATTTCTCCTACAATTGGAAAGAACACAAAATTATGATTATGTAGATAGCTTAGCTGGTCTCTTACTAACAACAGATTCACTCCTCTTGTGACCCTTTAGCAAAGGTTGCTAGAATTGCAAATATCAGGCCCACTGGTAACTCTCATAGTCCTCCTTCGCTCCAGTTTCTCTCCAGCTGTGATTTTTAAATCTTTTCGTCCAATTAAGAGAACAAGTCTCTGTGAACAGAGCGTAATCATTCTGCGGTTACTAGGTAACCTGTCCCCATAGCTTAGAAAGAGCATTTAATCTATTCTTCCGCTGCCAATCTGTTGCCACAATACATCAGGGACGATGCTCAAGCTAAAGGTTTGATAATCTCCACCTAATGTATTCTCTGTTTACAAGTGGCTTCATTGTTAAAAACAAAGCAAAACAAAAAACTAAACAAAGTGTCAGTCTATCCTCCTAATATTTGTTTCACTTAAAAAATAGAGTTTGGGGGTCAGCCTGGTGGCGTAGCAGTTAAGTTTGTGCACTCTGCTTTGGCAGCCCTGGGTTCGTGGATTAGGATCCTGAGCATGGACCTACATACTGCTTATCAAGCCATGTTGTGGTGGCATCCCACATATAAAGCAGAGGAAGATGGGCACAGATGTTAGCTCAGGGCCAATCTTCCTGAAGCAGAAAGAGGAAGATTGGCAACAGATGTTAGCTCAGGGACAATCTTCTTCACCGAAAAAAATAAATAAATGAAAATAAGTAAAAAATAAAATAAATAAATAAAAAATAGAGTTTGGAGTTTTAACAATCGATTTCTGGGAAGTTGCAATGAAGCTCTTCTAAGTGTATCTGTGATTTATAATCTGCCACATACAAATCAAAGAAAAAAAACACAGCTGATTTTTGTAGGCCTCCAATGAAAACCATCCTTTGTTGATGCCTTACCTAGTTTTTCTAAGGGATTCAGTCTCCACCCTAGTTACACTTTAGTTCTTTGTCTTTGAGGATGTACTCCTCAAACACTTTAAATTATTAGGCTGAATGACATGAAATTACTATTTTATAAATCAAAAGTGATCAAATATAGACAATATCATTTGGATTGACCTAACAATTTAAAGCATTTGGAGAACACCATTGGAAACATTTAACATTAGACTTCATTAATTATTTCTTTAGAATGTTTGAGCAAGTAAGCTTAGACAATGAAGGTGAGGGGTTTCCTGACCCCCTCAGACCTGTGCAATCTCAGACTTCACTTGGCTCAAATATATGACCTTTCTTACCCTCTTTGAGTTCTTCCACTTCCTTGTTTGAAAACAATTATTCAGTATTTGTGTTTCATCTTTTTAAACAAACTCTAAATTGTCCAACAGAATGCAAATATGTCATGAAAACAGCTCTCATTATGTAACATTGTGTCCACTGAAGTTTATACCCATAGGCAACCTCAGATTAAAGAAAAATGTTGTGA